TTGGACTCCATTGGACTCCATTGGACTCCATTGGACTCCACTGGACTCCATTGGATTGGAGTCCGCTATTTCCCCCTTGCTGGCAAAATTAGGACGCTGGCATCCATTCTAAAATTTTATAAAATAGAGCTTCTTTGAAATCATAGAGTTTTTTTAGATTTGCAAAATATTTTGTTTATTCAATCTTCAAAATTTCTCGTTTTATCTAACCGATAGAAGGAGTACGTCATATTCGCTGCCTATTTTCTGACAAGCATATAGTGATCGGTTCTGCACATTTTTGCTTCTTTCTGTTTTCATCTAAATTTCATTTTGTTTACACAAATGACACTTTCATAATTTCATGTATTGGCATAAACAGAACTTGTTAAAGAAGGGATGATTAATTCTGTGCGTTCACTGTTGCGAATTCACTTCTTTTTTTCCAACTTTTAAAGAGCACAACAAGATTTCTTTTCATCAGGCGCTCTCAAGAAAACATATGTTGACATAGTGCTACGTAAAAATACAACAGTATTCATGAAGAGAATTGCTAATAGGCATAATGTTATTAGTCTTTGTTGTTTTTCTGCTTTTTGAACCTCCAAGAATCAGTCAATGCTCGTTTAAGACGATGCCTTTATCAATGCACAAGCTGTGGCATGCCAAATGAGATGATATTTTTGAGTAATAAAAATAAAAGCATTGTTAGTGATTATTCATAGAAGAAAAAATTCATTGTTTAATCGAATGAAGAAAATTACATCATCCAACAGTTTTTAATTAAACCTTTTCACAACCAAATCGAGAGAAAATATTCATCGTTTTAGAAGTTTTATAAAACTTTCTTTTTTTCTATTCACTTGAATTAGAAAATATAAGAACATTAGTAAAAAGAACGATAATGAATAACTATGAGATAATACTTTGTTTCGATACTAATGTAAATTTTTTTGCAGAAATATTTTCATCTATTATCTAAATAGAATAAACTTCAATGGACATATTGCTTTGAATTACGAAGTACAAGATTATTCGTATGCTATAACGCAAAAATATTTATATCAGTTGTACACATTATTCGTATGTTTAATTGTAAATTTTCTCACTAATCATGCAACGTTTTTATTATTCGATAAATTCACATTCACTTTTTGAAAATACTTCAATTTATATTATTTGATATCTATTTTGATCAAGAACCTTTTCATTTATCAGATGATGTTGAACCAATAGACCAAGTGTGGTCAAAGCAAGTTTCTCTTTGACTGCTGGTCCATGATTTTGCCAATATTCACCAAACACGCCATGTGAATCAGCTGGACTGAGTTGAGAGACACGAAACCCTCCAAGAGCGATAGCTATCGTTAATTCATGCATATCCTGATCAGCAATAAGTACAAGTATAGGTCCCGAATAGTTAGCCTTGGTAAATTCGTTAACAAAATCATCATATGTATCTGAAAGTTGACGACCATTCCTATCTTTGGCAAAGATAGGCAAAGTGAAAACTATAGCGCGAATGTTTCGAAACGTGTCTCCTTCATTTTTGAAGTACTTCTCGAATGGCAAAGGCAGACAATTTTCGAATTCAACCATCTATTCCAAGATGCTTACCAGCGAATACACCAAGGCCAATACCGGTCTCCACAACAATTTCTACTCTCTCCATATGACATGCGTATAATCGTATTCTTACCATTCTCATAAGATCATCAAGCAGACGTCTTTCGTCAAGTTGAACTTCTGGATGAGATCGCACTGGATAAAAGTCTCTTCCATTAAACACTTTTGGCCTGCCTGTTCTTCAATCAAGTTCGAAAACTTGCTGCCAATTTCTAATATAAGTTGTAATATCATCAACATCATGCTCTCGTCCAGCAAAATCAATACCTGTCACTGAAACGAGTTTGATCCGATTAGGCCAATCATCCTGGAGGGAACGCGGTGAAATCTTTGCATCAAATTTCATTAGGATAGGACAATCAGACATACGAACAACGAATTTCATACAAAAAGCTTCACTGCCATTTTCACTTCTTCTTTGAAGAGCATGAGAAAGAAATTTTTTGTTCATATTTCGAGCATTTCCATCAGCATATACGACGTAAGAATTTTGCCACCTTCGAATTTCATCTACAGTCATAATAAATGGATTGTGATATTGATCATAAGGAAAATAGATTTTTTTATTGGGTTCTAATTGTGAAATCGGTTTCGATAGTTTAAATGCTCGTACACCAGACACAATATATTGACCTTCAATATTATGAAAACCAAACTTTTGCTTAAGAAAATTTTCCATTTGATCAGTTTCTGGAATACATTGCCCACTCATGGGACCCTGTTTGTTCATAATCGGAAGACTCTGTGTTAGGTATGCGAAAAGACGAAGTACATCGTCCATAGTGTGCTGACCAACGCCAAACATTTCGCTTGGATATGCTCTTCGAGGTGTTCTTCTTGAAGGTGGTCCTTGGTATGCATTGGGTGAATAGTGAACGTGTTCTGGGGCTCTAGCATATTCTTCCTTTCCTGCTTCCCCATTATTGTCCACATTTTGTGGTACACTGAGAGAGGAAGCAAGTTTGTATTTTGGTGTAGAACGAGGTTCTACACCACGTGGCGAATTAGTCGAATTATCTCTCCCTGGTTTTTGCTGGTGAGGAGCTAATGAGTCATCTGAAAAACTACTTCCAACACCGATTATGTTATTCGATCGCTTGAATTAGCCTTGTTTCGGGTAGAGAAAATCCGATGCAGCACGGTCCTTTGGGTTAGGCATTGGTCGAGATTTATTTATTGAATCATTTTTAGGATCTAAACAAATTTTACAATATTGCTTTTTATGTCTGTGCTCAACCTGTTTTAATATTCAAAAACTAATGGGTTATTTCATGTAAAAAAAATTGAATGAGATTGAAGAAAAATCTATTTTCTTATGAACCACAAGAAGATGTTTCCAATACATTTTTCATTATGTCTTCGAAAATTCTGCATATTCACTGTTTGATAGTAGATTATCGATAGAAACCTAATGGGTAATGTTATGAATGTTCTTGACTATAGATGCTGAAGTAAACGACCAAAACTATAATATTTTCGACTATCAATGAGTATTACTAATTCAAAATGAAATTTCGATTCATTTATAGACGAAATCAGAACAAACTATACTCACCTGAAACATCGTTTGTCACTAAGATGACGTTCTCATGGAAATTCTTATTGTCAAACAGTGTTTTCAAGTGTCTCGTTTGAGTACGAATATTCTCAGCTATAAGTCTAAACATGGTTTGGATATCTATATTGGGTATTGTAATATATTGTAGTAAATTTTCCATGAAATAACCGTTTTTATTATTTCCTGTTTCACTAAGTACTGTTATATCCTAACAATTTGAATACATTGTTAGTGTTTTTGGTGCAACTCTGGGATATACTAAATTTTGCTGATCATTCTCGTGGGCACATCTCATGGCTTTTCTGCAGGTATCTAAAATGAGTATATTGATACCACACTTTTTCTCCACCGATTGAATCACAGAGTCCAATGGAATCACGCCGTCTAAAGATAGTAAATAATTCTCGTTCTTAATTGATTTGGCGTGACCAGCAAAATAAAATAGTGCCAAATCGTTGGGTTGAAGTCTCTTAGCAAATTCTTTTAAAGCTTGCTCAAATTCTTTTGACTCAAGATTGATTTTTGTTGTCACCAAGAAACCAATACTTTCAAGAATCTCCTGAAAATCGTGAGCATCATTGATGCAATAGTTTAATGGATACAAGGCATAATTGTTGATACCAATAAGTAATGCTCACTTTTTTGACACAGTATGCCGTGAGCCCATTTAATCTAAAATTTGTCAGTCAACATATCAAGTTTATCATAAAAGATTATGAAAGAACTATGTAAGACGATAGTCCTTTAAAGTTTTTTGCTTTTCCTCTTGTCCTTAATATATTCTTTTATCTATAATTTTTTGAAAGGCAACATGTGTGAAAAAATTTAAATAATCAAGAATAATTATCTCACTTGCTGATAGTTCATTGTTTTGAAAGTTTAGTATGACTATATCATTTAGCAAAAAATAAGTATAATATTAAAAGGGTATACATGTTTAATCTTATTTCTACATTAATTTCCAATGCTCTTTTATATTTCGATTGAACTTAATGAACTAGATAGGACATTAAAACAATCATCAATATAAATTGAAATACCTTATGTAAATGCTAAAGTAAGTATTTCAAAAACATGACGTAGTACTCTGAAAGAAATCATATCGTTAAACACAGATATAACGATAAGTATTTTAGTATGAATTGAAATTCATTTCTCGCAACATTTTACATAAAAAAAGATTGAGTACTCTTATATAATTATTACTTTTATTGCTGTCAATTGAATTATAAAAAATAAATAACACTTCTGTGAAATATACCCCTAGTTAATGGTTTTGATTACCTACTTTTAGCTTTGATTCGACCAGTTATTTTTCGTCAACAATAAAACTTCCGAGTAAGCCACCAAACGTACGTGTTTTTCGGTAATATGTTAACGGCGAATGAGTATTTCTATGTTTCTTCTGTTGACACACACTTTCTTCTTTCTTGTTGGTTCTTTCATAATACCGACTGGCAAGAAATTTCTTTTCTTCCGATGTAAACGACAAAAAAAGTATATATATATATATATATATATATATGAGTGAATTGCAACTTTATTGTACCGTTCTGAGGAAAAAAATGAACGAAAAAACATTTTCGATTTGAAAGTGGATAAGTAGTGCTTTTAATTGTACTATGTGAGAAGAGAAAGAAAATAAATTTTCCCGACTACCACTTTAAGTATTGGCTCTGATATACGAAAATCATTGAAAAACCTATGAAAAATGCTTCAAAGTTACTGTATAGGTGTTATGTAAAAAAAATTATTTAAATATGGGAGTTTTGCAGAGTGCATTGAAAATACTTCAGTTTATATTTAGAAACGACTTTGTTTAAATCATTTGAATATGATTGAGATTCTAGTTCAATAATGCTAGATCATAGAACTCTAATATTGTGTTATTTGCTATATACAATTACTGGATTTTCGTGTGTGAAACCTGAGAAATAAATTAAAGGGTACTTGCACAAGTTTTGATAGTTATTTAAACAGGAAATCAAGTAACCTGTAATTATTTACATTTTCGTTAGCTACGGGGCAGTTATATATGTAAAAATCTTAACTGATAGTTTTCCAAAGAATCTCGTGTGACAGTTCCCTAAGAAATCTCGTGTGACATTTTTACACTATTTTCCTCTCTATTATGCGAAAGGAACATTTTCTAACCGTGATATTTTCAGCAATATCTAACCACAACTAGCAAATAAAATGATAAAAATTTCAGCTGAATCTGCCTTAATTTACAAGGATTAATACGACACACAAAGTATTAAATCTCGTGTGACATTTAGTGTGACAACTATATTTTCAAATTTTATTTAATGTCCCTTTCTTAACAAGAATAACTAAAACTTTCAAATCGTCTTTGGTAGTTTAATTCCCCACTGACAAGCTTTCATTCAAAACTAATCCGACAAATTTTGAATGCTTTGTTATATAGCAAAGGCATTTTTAAATCTCGTGTGACACCATATTGACCATTGACGGTACATCTGATATTCGGAAAAACATATAACATAAACTGCGATGAAAGAACCAGCCAGTCTCATATCCATGGTGTATACACTGTCCACTGTAAATGTCAACAACTGTCAAAATTCATATGCCAAGAAACCCATCAGTGATGGGTCATTTTCTGTCCATAGGTGGCAGCAGAAATCAGCCATTTTAACCTTGTGTATGCAGTATCTCGGGGTAGGCTAATGATAAATTCCTGATTTTTTGTGTGATAGTGAGCATCAACTACGGAAGCATACTCTGAAATTTTCGTAAAGATTGGCCAAGAGGAACTGAAGTTATTAAAGTTTTACATATGGAACTACAAACGGTACAATAAAGTTGCAATTCACTCATATATATAAGTATTACAACATAAACTCACAACATATAAGTAAAGCTAAATTCTTCATTAAACAAGGTTTTATGAACCTAGCAGATCAAGTAATGTGAATGATAAATGAAAAACTATAGTTTAAACGATGTATTTACCCAACCAACCATTCGATAGGTATTTCGATGCGTCGATTTTAGCTTCCGTTGGGCATCGAAATTTCAAATCGACCCCTGGAAGTGCCATTTTCCGATGAGTCGAGGGCTCGGCGATAGGTTGTTTTTACTAGCAATTTTCAACCACTCGAATAATCATTTTCGCTGGATCGGAATTTCATAGAAAAAAAGAATTTTTATCCGATAGATGTCTCAATTTAGAGTTGTCCACATCACATCGTATATAAATTTCGAGTCGTCGAAACCTATCGAACATATGCGGATAAGTAGATTTGAACATGGGTACTTACGATTCACTTTCGTCGAACAGTTGAGCTAAATATGAACTATTATTCGTATATCAAAACGACCTTTTTAGTTCATAAGAAGATAGTACTTATGCTTTTTTATTTTATTTTTTGAAAACTAGGGTGTGGGTGTGGGGTGTGTGACTGTGGGTGGAGTGTGGGTGTGGGTGTGGGGTGTGAGTGTGGGTGTGGGGTGTGGGTGTGGGTGTGGGTGTGGTGTGGGTGTGGGTTTGGGTGTTGTTCTTTTCTCCATTCCTGCACCTACACCCACGCACACTCACACCCACCCACACCCACACCCACACCCACACGCACACCCACCCACACGCACACCCATACCCACACCCACACCCATACCCATACCCATACCCACACCCACCTACATTCACACGCACACCCACCCACACCCACACCAACATCCACACCCACCCACACCCACCCCACACACCCACACCAACACCCACACACTCACACCCCACACCCACGCCCCACACCGACACCCTGAAGCACTTTTTATCTGTACAATATCATATCTAATTTTCAGTGAAGTCAAACCTCTTCGAATAGTAAAAGAACATAATGTTCAACGGTCTTTTTTCTACGTGGGACCTCACAAAGCTGATTAATAACTTCTGCTACAGAGGTTTTGTGACAAGCATACCTTTACAGTAGTTAATATTTACTATTCATTTCATACAGCATTTCGGAATTTTTTTTTGCTAGAAGGAAAATAATTACTGTGATACGAAAAAAGGATAATGTAAGGTTAGTGATACTATTTAAGAATAGAAAAAATTATTGAATACTGATGATAAAAAACGCTCTCTGAAGAAAATGCAA